GGACTGTGAATTCATTTTGAGGGATTTTGGTGTAAATTCAAGGCCTTATTGTGAAAAATTGTGTACATTATTATTGCTCAAAGTATGGTCCATCATTAGCCACCACTTCTTCCCATCTTTCCGTCAGAATGTTCTGCTTCGAAAGAACAACTCGTCTTTTGTTACTACTCACCAATCGATCCAATTTTGAGTATCTTCGTAAGATTGGAAGCGTTGTTTAGCCAGGACGTTGTTCCATGCATCGAAACAGATAGTAATCCGATGGAGTGAATATGACAGGTTATTGCCTTCATGAGCATTGTCATGTTGAAAAATTAGATTATCATGCCTTTGCTCAAATTGTGGCTGTTTTTCCTTTAGTCTACGGCTTAAACGTATCAATTGTGTTCGTTAGCGTTCACCAGTGATGGTTTTGTTCGACTGAAGAAGCTCATAGTATACAACTCCAAGTTGGTCCCACCAAATACAAAGCATGTGCTTCGAACCATGATTTTTTACGCTTAGGATTATCATAGCGTATCCATTTTTCATCACCAGTGACCATACAATGCAGAAAACTATTTCTTTCTTGCCATTGAAGCAGTTGTTCACACATGAAAAACCGTCGTTCAACATCTCTCGGCTTCAATTCGTATGGCACCCAATTTCCTTGCTTTTGAATCATACCGGGTACATTTAAATGTTGGAAACTGTTGTGTGATGAACATTCAATGACTCGGCAAGTTAATCTTGCATTTGACATGGATCTTGGTCGAGTAATGCTTCCAATTCCTCATCTTCAAACTTGTTCGGTTAACCAGAGCATTCTTTGCCAACTGTATCGAAATCACCACTTCTTTGAATTAAACAGGAAAGGTAAAACTTCCCGCAAATGGTGTTTTGTTGGCTCGTATTTCAACATCTTAGAAGCTGAGTTTTGACATGAATATGGTTATAGAATTGTCCGATGCGAATTAATTCGCACTTCTAGTATGTTTTTTAACATATAGGGTGTCCCAGAATAACGTGTACAACGGAAGACCACAAATTCATAGACTCAGAATAGACAGATTTAAGGTAAGTTCATGCAGTAGCGATTTGCGATTTGCGGATTTCAATTTGATTGGTTGAAATAAAATATTTTTGACATCCATTTCTTCATTTCAATATATTGCGAGAATCGCAAAATTTAAATATAGGGGGCGGGAAAATAGAAACAGTTTCTATTTTTGGCGATTATCGCAATAATTTTTACAAACTGGGCATGTGCAGTCCGGCCAGTTTTGTCATTCACAAGTAATTAATAGTATATTAAACAACAAGGTTTGAAAACGACTCTTTGCACACGAGCGAGACAAATTGGTGGACCGAGCTGAAGGCGAGGTCCACAAGTCGAGCGAGTGTGCAAAGAGGTTTTCAAACGAGTTTTTTACGATACTTTTTATACGACTCCAAACAGAGACCGCAAAAATCAAATTTTAATTTAAATCGTTTTTATTACTAAAATTGCCAACGCATTAACAAAATAAATTAAATACAACTTTTAATTTAACTCGTTTTTATTAAGAAAATTGCTAACGCATTAACAAAAGAAACTAATATTTAATATTTATGGTAACATTTGAACATTCCTTCAAGGTTACACTGGGAAAAGCAGTATTATTGTGCACCTTGTTTTCGGTAATAGAGAATATTTTTGGTGTCGTGTTTTTAGTGCAGTTTTTCAGCGTGCGGTCGTTGTTTTCTTGTTGTATTCCAGTAGACGATCGTTGTTCTGGTTCTGTGGCAGCAGAAGACACTGAAGACTATCTTTTTCGAAACTTCCATTTTATTTGTGGCCGATGAACGCCGAAAACGATGTCCCGTGTAACTTTCTGGATTCTCTAGCATCAAAAACTTGGCGATTTCCCTAGCCAAGTTTCCAATTTTGTTGATGCCAACGTTTTGGCTTGAACATTTTCCATTTTGATAATTTAAAAAAACCTGCCTGTCTTCAGATTAGGAGGACGAAGAGCACAGTACTTTTTTAAGATAGTGTAAAGGTTTCCTGTAATTGTAAAACACCTTGGTACCTTTATTTTTGTATTCTTCAGTTTAATCAGCATAGCACTGCCGAAATTTTTGGTGTCTTCGATTTTGAGATAACATAATTCCTCCCTTCGACATGCCCCAGATAGTCCAACTGCCACCACCGCCTTGATAAGTAAATATTTGTCGTCTGATGCTTTCGTCAAAAACTGACAAAAATCATCTTCTGTGAGGATTTGGGACTTCTTTGGGACGTAGTTTTCAGATTTTCGTTTGATTAGCGCTTGCAACTTTTTATAGCTTCCAAGATCTATGTTGTGATTGGCACTTAACGTTGACTTGAGCATCGAAAAAATCGTCCACAACGTCGAAGTTTTATATTTCTTAGATAGTTCTTCAAAATACACCATTATTGCGTTTTCTGAGAAAGTTTGGACATTTTTGGCTATTTGCCAGTCCATAAATCGGCTTAACTCAGCTTCATACCTGCTTCTGGATTTTGTGGGCAGCAATTCCGAACATATTTCGCTTGCTTTCTGTAAAATCTTTTCAGAATTACACATTTTCCACCCAAACTTCGGGAATTCAACAATTTTTGAAGTATCTAATCAACAAAATAAAGGAGCTGTGACGGTTGCTATGAAACTCAGCCAACTTGAAACATTGCATAATTTGGGTGACAAACAAAAATCACAATCTGGAGACGTGTGTGCAAAGATGACATAACCGTGTGCAAAATGGTTAGCACACGGTGTGTGCAAAATACCGTATTCAGAGCGTGTTTTCCGTGCGCAAAACCCCCTTTTGCTAGGCAGTCGTATAAAAAATACTTATTAGTATCATGTAACCTCACACCTCATCTCATTTCCATTACCAAACACTTTTCTGGCTATATATTTTCTGTTTTCAAAATTAATACCTATACAAAAAACAGATGGTAATCTGCACGATGAAAATGAATAGGTAGCTGAAACTTCTTAAAACGCATAACGTTTATGTTTATAAGAGAATTATTATTCGCATTTCTACATTTGTAAAGTAAAAAGTTGAAAAGTACTTTAAAAAAATAGTCCTCATTGACAATAAATAACATATGATAATCACTGTTATTTATCACATTCATCGTTGAAGAATGTTTATTTATGAATTTCTTGGTATCACAGATTAGTAATATTGCTTGGTATTGTCATATCTAAAATTCTTGACTGTGGCATGGCATGGCAAGGCAAGTAACACAAGAAATTTAAAAGTAACTGGTTTTCACAAATGTGCATGAACGAATGTTAAATTTTTGTCGCATAAATCGTAAAACCGTTAATCGCAACTCGCAAATCACTGCTGCATGAACTTACCTTTAGGCTAATTCACCTATATCCAAAATCGCTTCGTTTGGCCGCTAGATGGCCTCAAAGTATGTGAAAAATTTTTAAATTTTATAAATGACTTGAATACGTATTATTCGATTTCGATTATTTTTGGGGTGTGGACTTTTGCTTTCAGTCTACACATTTTGGTGTTATACAAGGTGTTTTTTAAAACTTACAACTCTTATAAAATTGATGTATGGTGATAATATCCGTTCATAACTTTTTCCTCTTTTGGGCAATAATGACAACTATTTTTTATTTGATAGGTGATACCATTTGAAAGTTTTTGGGCCTCTTGTAGAATATTTTTCAAATGTCTACATTATCTTGTCACCCATATTGCAATACTTAACAGTGCTAGTAGGCACTGATTTTGTAGGTTGACTGTAATTTCAATTTGATCTTTTAAGTCATTGTACCTGCTAATTCTTAATGAGTGACAAGGTCACATGTTACTTCGATATGGATACACACACATAAGACGAATTATTTACAACATGCCTTATTTTATTGAGATAATTAGTAAAAACAATCAAATACAATAAAAAATGCTGGAGATAAAAGTAACAAAGTTGATGTTGTTAGATTTAGTACAACTTATTATAAAAACTGTTCAAAATAACCACAACAAAGGTTAATTCGGCGAAGAAAGTTAAAGGACACCCTTTCTAGTTTTTCAGGGCAATTTTTTAAAACATTTATGGCAATTTGGATATGCCTCCCACAACTCTTTTTCAGTGTTAGATGAGGAAGCATACACTATTGTTTTCAAAGTACCCCAAAGATATTAAGTCTGGTGAATGAACAGGCCAGTTAACAGGAACATTATCCCCTCTACCGATCCATCGACGAGGGAATCTTTAGTTCAGATACTGCCGGACATTGAAAGTGAAATGTGGTGGAGCTCCATCATGCATAAACCACATGTTAGCCCTGTGGTAATAATGGCACACCTTCCAATAACTCGGGTAAAGTGTTTTGCAAAAATTCTAAACAAAATTAGCCATTCAGTCTATTGGGTAGAATAACAGGGCCAATAATAATGCTATCAATGCTTTGTATTTGATGGTTTTTTCTAATTTTTTAAATAAAATTAGGCATGTAAATAATTCTAATTTGTAGTATGTGTGTGTATTCATATTGAAAAATGAAGTAACAGGTGGTATATCTCGTCATAAACACTCACTAAGAACTGTCAGGTACAGTGAGTTAAAAATCAGACTGAAACTACAGCAGGGTTCGTAGCGGCAGTGAAAACTGTGAATACCGGGAAAAGTCAGGGAATTTGTTATTCTTCATAAAAAACAGGGAATAGTCAGGGAATTTTAAAAATATTCATGAAAGTCAGGGAATTTGATGTTTGCAACTGGAAATTTTGTGAAAGCCGGCCCTGTGTTCTTGAGAGAAAACTAATTTTGGTTTTGAAACCTTTATAATAGCTGTTTTACATTGACAATTTATTAATCAATTAATTCATGAAGTCGCTTCATCAAGAAATTGGAAAGTGTAATGCACCAAATCAGCTGTCAAATAACTTCATGAATTTANCAAGAAACGAAGACAACGACACAGACACACACATACACACCCCCCATACCCTCCTTTCCCCTCCCCTCCCGCGCTAGCCTAAGGGCCACCTTAGCAAAGCGCATCCCAGGCTGCATAGTCGCACTACCCTACCCAACCATCCCCCCCCCTGCCCGCTAACCTTTTCTGTTTCAGAGACAGCCAGGATCAAGAAACGAAGACAACGACACAGACACACACATACACACCCCCCTCCCCTCCTTTCCCCTCCCCTCCCGCGCTAGCCTAAGGGCCACCTTAGCAAAGCCCATCCCAGGCTGCATAGCCGCACTACCCTACCCAACCATACCACACATAAACATGACACTACCCCCGGGGTTTACACAGACGAGCCGGCGAAGCAAGAAGAGCGCCAGAAGAAAGGGCCCTAGCCGGCGGGGCCCAGCCAGGACAAAAGGAGGTCCCACAAAGCGCCTACACCGGCCGCATTTGCGGTCGGGGTAGACGACGGATGGGGCCCACCTACGAAGGCTGTCCAGGCCTACACGAGATGAGGCAGGATAAAGAGGGATAATCCCCCTCGATCCCAAATCATTGAGGCCAATTTCTAGCCATGGAATAATGGCAGTCTCGTAATATGTCAGTGTTTCTTATGTACCAGGGCGCGTCGGTGGCCGTGCGGACTTTATCGTTTACGGTATTCTTAAAACCGATATTCAAAAACTCCCTAATATCTGCAATGAATGCTATCATAATCGCGTGCGTTCTAGAGTGAGATAGTATATACTGAGATACTGTATGTCTCTCTCGCATACTCAGACACACTTTTCGCAATGGCATGCTACCTCCAGTAGTACCTATATGCTCGAAGATATGGAGATTAAATGAATTAATAAATAAAAGCTGTGTAAATACTGACATTTCCGACATTTGTTGTTGGAAAATTTATAGCCAAATTTTTATTTGTAGTTTCAATATTTTAATAATTTGTATTTGTACACTTATAAGCGCTTTCAAATTCAAGGAATTAATTATATATGTATATTTTATAAAATTATTTCATTTTAAATCTACGCGCTTACCTATCGGGTTACGGGTTCTGTGGGTCACGGTCATTTTTGAAATAGTTCAAATTTACTATCGTCAAATACAAACAAAAGTTATCATTCTATATTGAATATTCTTGTTATATTTGCAAGTGTCAGAAAATGGCTATAAATAATTATTTTGACAATGCTGATATAAATATTTATTATCATATGAAAAATCACTATAAAAAATTGAGAAGTGCTAGAAGTACCATTGATAATTCTTTGCCTCAGAGTTTCGTTAAAACAAGTTCTACTTCTACTCCGCCAAACTCTGAAAGGTCCCTAAAAAGGACAAATTTCGAGGAAAGGTACGTGTTATGTAAATAGGTATTTGAGGAAAATTTAAATACTAAACTATTATTTTTTAGAGATATTAAGAATGATTCATATTTACCTGTTCATTCTGGTATTGTTCGGAAGCACAATTGTATTACCAATTCTGCCTCAGCAACTAGTAACACCACAACTGCAATAAATTTACCGTCCAGAAGAAATCCGTCTATAATTCCTTATAAAATGAAGGTGTGAATTTATTACTTTAATTTAATGTATGAGTGAAGATTTGTGGCAAGTTTATAAAACATTAATTATTATAGATGCAACGGATTAAGCTAAGACTAAGACTAGGCCTTAAAATTAGTATACAGTTATAACTTGGTTAAGATTTAAGATATTTTTATAAACTCCATTATTGTCAGCTAAACATAAGGCTTTTTTGCGACTGAATATTGGTGAATATCTGACTTGTAGTTACAATTTCTATCTCTTTTAATCTTAATTGTCATATGGTAGTTTAAAGGCTGGTTTTCATTTCGGGTACTTTGCTCCGATCATGTTCCGTTTATGTTGTGTTGTTTAGAATCTCAAATTTATATTTCTCCCTATAATAACACGGAAAACATCAATTCTCATATTCACTTGAAGTGAGCACAATACCCTGAATGAAAATCAGCCTTAAATCTCTTCATTCACTCGTACTACACATACTACAACATACTATTCCACTCGTGAAAGAGCTTTTAAATCTTTTAGCCTTTTTAAAGCCTTTAAATTACCTTAAACAAAGGTAGCTCATGGTTTTGTTTTAATCCTATTAACATTTGTAAGGATAGCATTTAGCAGTAAGATCGTGTTCCACGGACTCAACTAGACGGAAAGACATGAGCATTAAATTGAACAAGTTAAAAAAGAAGAAAAAAATTGCAGACAATAAATGTAGCACTGGAGATAGTAGATCAGAATCATCTCTAAATAAAATAGAAGATCTTATGGGTGATCATCAGTGCACAGTCGGAGAACACGATAAAAGTGAAACAAACCGAAGCATAATCACACAACAGTCTGAAGAAAAATGTAATATGCAGCCTAGGTAATATTTATTTATTTTTAACAAATATGTATTTGTATAAAAGATATACGTCAGTTTTATAATAATCTTTCAATAGCCCTGAATTCCAGTTTCTTTTTTCTAATAAACTACATAATACGATAAAATAATTGAAGAGTAAATTCACAGGAAAATTCACAACTTTGGCTAATATTAATGAGATTATTAACAAAATTAACAACAAAAAAAGCGCATATATTTGTGGGTTGTCTTAAATTTTTTTTTTGTAAATAATTTTTATATACATAGATTTCTAATTCGTCTTAAACTAATTTTTTCAAAACATCTTGATCTGCATGTATAGTTATTTTTTCTCTATTTAGATATTTTGCCACCAGTGAAAAAAATTAGTGGAATAAACCCTTGCCTCAAAAAGATCAGTCAAGGAAGGCTTATTTTTATGAAACTAGTAATGCCTGTTCAAATATCTCGTACTGAAAAAATACACATCACTATCACTCATTTCCATAAGTTGTTAAGTTTAGAATATATATCAATTTTTGTTATGCCCCGTACGATGTTTTTTTTTTAATTGGGGAATAAACTGTCACAAATAAGTAACTTCAAATGATAAGGAGTAGTTATTGCCATTGCAGTAGTACTTTCAACTTAGTAGTAAACGGCATTAAAAATAAAAGAGTTATAGCAATATTTTCATATTGCCGCTGATCACGAAAAGCCACTCTTGAGTCATTTTTTAGGAAAGAACTATTATAAAGAAAAGTCATCACATATAAGCTCGTACCTGTATATGTTCACTGTATGTCATAGTACTAATTATAGTAGGGAAGCCCACGATACTAAACAGGGATTTACTTGAGCGTCGTGGGGACCTATTGGATTTTGAAGATTAGATGGTAGAAAGAAAAAAAGGTTATATGATGTATACCCTGTCAGCGATGGGGGAAGCGTCTACAGGCTTTCAAAAATGTAAAAAAAAAACGGTCACATGGAAATACTCGGGCACGTCAGATATTGATAGTGTATATGCTGTACGTGTCTCCGATGATGGAGATATGTTAATCTGCCGATTTGGATGGTGGGAGCGGCCATACGGAAAGGTTAGAAATGGGGAAAAAAATTTACTCTAGCGCGTCATGTATTCAGAGCTCCCATTCAAAAGACTGACAATTCGGATGTGACGCAAACTCGTGGCAGCTTTTTGAAAATCCAAAAAAAAATCGCCATTTTGAAATACTCGAGTACGTCAGATTTTCATATAGATGGTTCAGTTTGATGCTCTGGATGGATGGATGGATGGATGGATGGATGGATGGATGGATGGATGGATGGATGGATGGATGGATGGATGGATGGATGGATGGATGGATGGATGGATGGATGGATGGATGGATGGATGGATGGATGGATGGATGGATGGATGGATGGATGGATGGATGGATGGATGGATGGATGGATGGATGGATGGATGGATGGATGGATGGATGGATGGATGGATGGATGGATGGATGGATGGATGGATGGATGGATGGATGGATGGATGGATGGATGGATGGATGGATGGATGGATGGATGGATGGATGGATGGATGGATGGATGGATGGATGGATGGATGGATGGATGGATGGATGGATGGATGGATGGATGGATGGATGGATGGATGGATGGATGGATGGATGGATGGATGGATGGATGGATGGATGGATGGATGGATGGATGGATGGATGGATGGATGGATGGATGGATGGATGGATGGATGGATGGATGGATGGATGGATGGATGGATGGATGGATGGATGGATGGATGGATGGATGGATGGATGGATGGATGGATGGATGGATGGATGGATGGATGGATGGATGGATGGATGGATGGATGGATGGATGGATGGATGGATGGATGGATGGATGGATGGATGGATGGATGGATGGATGGATGGATGGATGGATGGATGGATGGATGGATGGATGGATGGATGGATGGATGGATGGATGGATGGATGGATGGATGGATGNAGATAGATGGATAGATGGATAGATGGATAGATGGATAGATGGATAGATGGATAGATGGATAGATGGATAGATGGATAGATGGATAGATGGATAGATAGATAGATAGATAGATAGATAGATATATAGATACAGACAGACAGACAGACAGACAGACAGACAGACAGACAGACAGACAGACAGACAGACAGATAGATAGATAGGTACGTACCTACGTACATACATTCATACATACATACATACATACATACATACATACTATTATAAAAAAAAGGTACAATGTATATATCCTAAAACAATTAAAACCATTTTAACAAAAATCACAGAACATAAAATTATACAACATGTCTACATACATTCGCACAAATTATACTGTGAACTGTAGAGCCATTTCTGCTGTCATAACACATAAGTTAAACAACATATAAATCCTATACAGAATTTAATAAAAAACGATATTTTTAGTTTTTTATCGTTTTATTAGCAAAAATAAAAAATACGGGTCCCCTAAATTTGTCTTAAGAATCTATGACCAAGTTTTGTTGCATTAATTTCGGGACACCCTGTACATAATTACAGAAAGAATGATCAAAAATTTCATGTTTAATAACACATTAATAGCGATTTCCTGGTAAACGGTTACATTTATCGGCTTGAACAAAGAGTACATATTTTTTTTCTGATATTGTTTCTCTTTTCAATAATGTTTAAATTTCTGTGATGTCTAGCAAGAGAAAAAAATTAAGAACCAAACAAATTTTGAGTTCTAGGTAAAGTGCCCTCTAGTGGCGCATAATGAAACTTTTATCTGACTGGTCCAATAGAGCTTCATCTACTTAGTGGGTGTGCCAAATGAGAGATTAATCGAACATGAATTAAATAAGTTATTTAAATAAAAAAATTAAAAAAATGAACTTGGACAAGCTGTAACTTGCAAACAATTGACAATTCGAAAAAAATTTTCATTACATACTGCTATTATTTTAATCCATAGAATCACCTCCCGGAGTTTCCTGACGGAGTTTCAAAACAACATGTATTTCCCTGCAGCTGCACGCACTAAGCTTTATTAACGATTTTTGTTACTTCGTCTTGTGGAAATCGGCAGATTATATTTTTCCCGTTATCCTTGAATTATGTCCTTCAAAATAAAAAAAAAAATCGACCGCTCTCGAGAATGCTGAGGTGACGTTTTTTTTTTTTTGCAAATTTGTGACCTTCCGACTGCCTTACGTCATGCTCAAATCGTCAGATTATTGAAATGCACACTTTTCAGCATGTAATTAACCCATCATATCTTAATCTGACGCGCTCGAGTATTTCCAACTATCGATTTTTTTTTTTACTATTCTGATTGGCTGCCCTACACGCGCTGCCTTATATAGAGGACTTAGATATGGTGGACGTACTCAACAGGGTGCAAGGTATCCCCCATATGTTAATCTGCTGTGCTTGAGTAACTCCCAAAATCCCTTCTTGGGCTCCCCTACTATTATGTATCATCATGGATGAATGTATTCTTTCATAATTTTAAGATTTTAATTCTAAAAAAGACTTGTGGAGAGACACTTTTTTATATGGATTTTTTTTTTTGGTCGCTAGCATCCATTTATGAGATCAGTGACGATATGAATATAATAATATGCATAGCACAAATACTAATACATTTATTAATATATTTAGAGTGGAAGAACATGAATACCTCCAATTTCTGTTAAGAATAACTGAAGATATAATCATCAATAACTTATATACAAATGAAGATATAGAAAAAGTATTTCACACACATGTTGAAGCAAATAAGGATCATCTAAAAGTGGTAAATTATTTTTATATTATACTGCAAATTTACTAGAATTGTCTAGTCTTGAATTTATTATTTGAATTCATGAGGTGGTGATATCCATTATATTAATTTAAAATCACTCTCACAGGGAAAACATGTACTTATTTAATTATGGTTTTTGGCAATTTTCTTCAATTGCATCAGCAAAAGCCATAGCTTATTTTTAACATGAAGAGCACTAATAAGTCAAAGTCAAAAGTTATTTAGTTCAGTTTATTACTGCAAAGTAACGTAACAATTAGATATGTATCTATTAGAAAAGAGTAGAAAATTAAAGACTGACAAAACAGTAATCAAAGATACTAAAATAATAATATTAAAGTGGCCCTTCACGTCGGTAAGCAATCATTTTTGTGATTATTTCTTTATCTTTCCCATCGTCTGTTAAATCTCAGCACCTATGCTATTTCTAGTCTGTTCCATTGGCCTGTTGAAGTGTGTCTCCACAGATAGCAGCACATTACACGATTCTTGACAAGTTGCCTCAATTTTCGTTATATTGACATTTCTTAGAAATTATGACAAATCTCAACTATTTGTTAAGGTATTATTTTTATAGATTTGACAGTATACAATGGATGGAGCTATGACTATGATACAAATTGCGCAATATTGACTTTAAAAGAAACTATTATGAAATTCATTAATTTAACAATGAAAAAAGTTACTGTCAAATACGCAATAACGCTTAATATCATGTATTAAATATGAGAAATTGTGAGTACTAAGCTTGTAAATTCCCCATCTTGTTTTACATCCTGGCCCCTGCCGCCTCTCTACATACCATCCATAGTATACTATCAGATCTATGATTATTTTTATACCTACATACAGTGCTATTTTTTTAAAACCTAACATAGGCCAACTTTTTTATTTGAAGTGATAGACTAGTACTTCCAAATGCAGAGTTGTAGGAAATAACTAGATTAAGAAAAATTTACTAATAATTCTTTCCGGTCTTGTTAGATTTCTGCAGTAGCTACTAAAACGATATTTTTTAAATGGCAACACCGTATTTTTTTAACATAATTTGACAAACCTTAAAATTCTAAATAGAAAATGTTATGTCACATTTCTTTATCGGAGTAGCCCTTTTAAAACAATCAATAAAAACAACGAAAATAATCTGCAGTCGGCAGGAACTAAAAAAAGCTAACATAGCAATAGTAGGCCTTGGATATTAAACAAAAATTGTGTTGTTTGAGAGGAGCCATCATTATTGTGCTGTCATTGTGGTATTTGACAGCTGTTGTATTTGAATGTGTATAAAAATGTCTTAATTAAGTTTTTATGATGATTTTCAGTAGTGATGTGAGTGAAAATATATAACAAATTGATATATATATCAATTTTTGATACATATCAGCTATTATATATATGTTAATAGCTGATATATATCAATTTTCCCGCCATTTCATCAATAAAGCCAAATTTCAAACTTAACCTTACATTTTAAAACTAAAAACTTGTGGTGTGGTAGGCTTGAGTTGGACTGTAGTCCATGAATATAAAAATTTGAAATTTTAGGAGTGTACTATAGATGGGAAGAACTAAGAGTGCACGTAATTTCAAGTCACCCCTTCCACCCTAGGGGGTGAGGGGTGTTTTTTTTAGATGTACCCTACTCATTTTGCGAGTTTCGGATTCTACGCGTAAAACTACCCCCGAAAGCGCGTTCTTGCCGAATTCACACAAAAACCAAACCACCACCCTCGTATGGACTTTTTCGTTTTTTGGATGGGCATTTGGGCACATCTCCGTCAGAAATAAATATAGAAATCTGAAATTTTAGGGGTGTACTATAAGTGGGGCGACCTAAGAGCGAACGTGATTTCAACTCACCCTTTCCACCCTAGTAGGTGCAAAGGGGGTTGAGGGGTGGTCTTTTAGACGTATCCCCAAGAACGCGTTTCCGGGGGTAGTTTTACGCGTAGAATCCGAAAATCGCAAAATAGGGTACGTCTAAAAAAACCCCTTCACCCCACCCCCTAGGGTGGAAGGGGTGAGTTGAAATTACATGCGCTCTTAGGTCTCCCCATCTATAGTACACCCCTAAAATTTCAGATTTTTAAGTACTACTTTAAAGCAGTTTCTTTATTATCATAAGTTTTTGATAATTTTTATTTCAATTTTTATATTTAATTTTTTTTAAGTACGTATTGTGATATACAAAGACAAAATTTTCTTGTTCTAGAAATTTCCCATTTTTTATTTGTGGGTTGAAACTAAATTGCTAATAAACAGCGTACTTGCTTATAAACAGTCAGTAGTACGCAACAAAAATTAGAAGTCATTATGATAAAAAAAATAAAAAATTCCAATCTAAATATGAAAAAAAATAAAGATCACTTGATAACTTTTCTAAAAGTTCATATATATGACATGTATTTGGTGTCAAATTAATCAGCAAGGCATTAGCAATATGAAAAAACTAATTTGAGTATAGTTTTTTTTTAACAAAATTCATCTGATATATATAATGATATATATTTTGATATATTTCACCCAAAACTAAATAGCATGCTATTTTACATCACTAATTTTCAGCCATGTTAACTTCTTTTAGTTCCTGACGACTACAGATTATTTTTGTTGTTTTTGCTGATTGTTTTAAAAGAGCTACTCCAATAAAGAAATGTGACATAACATTTTCTATTTAGAATTTGAAGGTTTGTCAAATTATGTTAAAAAAATACGGTGTTGCCATTTAAAAAAAGTATTAGTAGCTGCTGCAGAAATCTGGAAAGAATTATTTGTAAATTTTTCTTAATCAAGTTATTTCCTACAACTTTGCATTTGGAAGTACTAGTATATTACTTTAAATAAAAAAGTTGGCCTATGTCAGGTTTTAAAAAAATAGCACTGTATATATCAAATACCTTAAAATAATGCAGTTTCTTGTGAAAGTAAAACAGCAAATCAGTTATTACTAACGTGTTCATGCACAATTTTCTCCAAAATGTAATGTTATGCGAAAAGTGTAGATAGAATAACTATGTAGGCTGGGAATGATATAAATCTTATATATTTTAAGTTTTAAAATATCACACAATAATACGCATATTGAAATAAAATGTGGATATTTTCTGTAAACTGCAAAAGTGTTAAAATTAAATGTGAAAGATTGACATTTACTACCTGAGATTTATGTTTCTTGAAAGAGGGTGTGTCTAATTGTTGACAGTGCTCACAGTTTCAGATGAAGTTAGGCTGTCTGGGGTCAGGGGGTGGCACGGTCAACGTCATTAGATGTAATAATAATAATAATTATAATAATAATAATGCATTTATTTTCCTTTAAGACGTGTGTATATAGGAATAGTCAATGTTACTTAACCTAAGACGACAGAAATTCATGATATATAAATTTATATAGAGGCATCCGGAAGTCACCATTTTGTCGCGTATTAATTGAGTGAATGTCCCTATTCATTTTGAATGTTGCTCGATTTTTAAAAATATATATACACAGTTCAAAAATTAATAATTCTGTACCGCAAAATGCGACAACTTGGGACACTATGATAAAATGGGACAATTTGCACCTGTTTTGCTGTTTTGGGAAATACACCTGGCATCGCTGAGATTCAATATGGCGCATCAGCACACGTCACGCTGGTCGGATATTGTTATTCAAGAGCGGTTGGTGCCAGTTGTTTGAGGTTTCTCGAAGAGACGAGTGCTGCAGGTCACATCTATTTTGCCGCTTCAGAAGCATCATTTTTGTACTTCGAAAACTTCTTGTGCAGCGCTGTAACCGTTACACATGGTAAGTTCATATTTTGCACAGATTAAAGGCTTATCTTGTTGTTAGTTTAATGTTGTAATTGGTTCTCTCGATTTTTTTAAACACTTGTTTTAGATCATGATTCTACAAGAAAGAGCATTGCGTCTTCAACTTGGGACGACCTGTCCCAAGTTGTCAATGCGTCCCAAGTTGTAAAACATATATGATTTTTTTTCACATTTGCTTAATTTTGTTGGTACTTACTATTTCAGGGCCTTACTATACTAAAAAAATTAGCGGACGAAGAAAAATAGGAGCCAGACGTTAGAGACAGTTTGATGATGACTATCTACAATTGGCCGTTGAAGCTGTAAGGAGTGGGAAAATGTCCATGAGGAAAGCAGCTGAACGATTTAGTATTCCAAAATCGACCATTAATAGGAAAGTAAGAGGAAAAAATATGAATCAGGTTGGACATCCCACAGTGTTGAAGAGGGAGGAAGAGAAAATGTTGGTTGAAAACATTGTTACTGCTGGCAATTTATTATAGTATTTTCGAATAATCTACCCGGTCCATGTTGGTGTCGAAGTTTCTTGAAGAGGAATAAGCAACTTCTTTCCGAGAGACTAGCTGAAAACATTAAAAGATGTAGAGCTGCCGTTAATCATGATACCGTGAACAAGTACTTTGCAGAATTAAAGGAATCATTAGAAGGTGTACCACCTGAGAGAATATTGAATTTTGATGAGACTAACATAACGGACGATCCTGGGAAGACCAAAGTGGTGGTGCGCAAAGGCACCAAATATCCAGAAAAGATCATGGACTCTTCAAAGGCAAGCATATCTGTCATGTTTACCGGCTCAGCTTCAGGTGTCTTATTACCACCATATGTGGTATATAAGGTGGAGCACTTGTACGATTCGTGGAAAGAGGGTGGCCCCAAATTTTGCAGATATACAAGATCAAAGAGCGGGTGGTTTGACTCTACGATTTTCAAGGACTATTTTCAAACTTTGGTTATCCCATATTTCCAACGATTGGGACCAGGAATAAATGTTGTAATCTGTGATAATCTAGCAAGCCACAAGGCTGTTGACATCGTCGAAATGTGCGAACAACATAATATTCGTTTTGTGCTACTACCTAAGAGTTAACACCCCAAATTCCCTAAATAAAGCTTTGCACGTGTGATAACTTGGAATACCCGCAATACATCTCAATACCCGTTTCTGGGCAATAATT